ACGCCTTTCAAGAAAGCATATTGGGTACTCGTAATCAGCCTTTGAAGTATGATGCTGATCCTGTTGTCAAGTACTTTGGTAAAGATCTTAAAACTAGAGTTTAACAAACTAATTGGCCTAAATTTCTTCATAGAGGTGGCATCAGCCTCCTTAGGGATTAGGGTTAGTAAAGCAAAGTTGAGTCTATAAATGTCTAATTCTCCTGTATGAAAGTCTTCAAACATTCTCATCAAAACAGTTTTAACTAGGTCCTAGAAGTGCTGGTAAAATAGAAATGAAATCCCATCTGATCTTGGAGCACCATTAGCATAGGAATCAAAAACTGCCTTCCTAATTTCCTCTTCTAAAAAAGCAGCTGGAGGAGTTCATTTTCAGCATCATACACTTTTTCCTCGTCGAAGAAGAAATCAACATTAAGAGTACACCCATTTCTACTTTCACCTTTAAAGAGTTTTTTTGTAGAAATCTCCAGCTACTTTAAGAAGGGCTACAGTTTTCGTGAATGGTCCATCAGGCCATCTAGGGGTGTATAAAGGTTTTTCTCCTCTGGTTAGCTACCGCATGAAAATATGCAGTATATGTCCCCTTCCTTAATATCTCTATCCGTAGACCTTTATTCAGTTTTCACTTCCTCCCTTAGCTAGTGATTTTGCAACTCTAAATGGATTTCTCTCAACCTAACCTTTTCTTGTTCAGAGAGCTCAATACTCTCTGATTTGATATCTGATCTATTATATTCATCCACGAGACCTTTTTTGAGTTTCCTCAGGTCAACCTCAGTGTTGGCACTCTGGCCCTTAGTGGTCTTCCTCAACTTCCTAATTTTCTTCTGCCAAACCTCAATGGGGGTTTTTGCTAGAGACATGGGCATTCCAAATTTTCTCTACTAAGGCTTTGAAATCCTCCTAGAGGAGCCACCACTTTCAAACCCAATATCATGGTTTGTTCGGGCCGCCATGTGGTTGTAGGAGATATTGCTCAGGCACAGGTAGACACACATGCAACTATTATCAAAGAAATAAGAGCCAGGGTGGATGGTTTGAACTCTTGTAATTTCATTTATGAAAGTAGAAACTCGAATGTAGATGCAGATAGTCTAACTAAGTATTCCTTAAATCTAGCACCTGGTAGACATGTTTGGTTGTTACAACCTCATGTTTTTGTAACTATACCATGGGACATCTTTATTCAATAAAGGAGTACAGTTTTCCCGAAAAAACTTAAATTTTAAGAAGTTCATTGCTCATTAAAAAAATATTTAATTAAAATTTTACGCATATTTTTTAATAAAAATATTCATCACATTTGAAACAAGTTCATCCATGGAACAATATGTTCATGACATTTTTAGAAAAATGTTCATACTAAGGAAACACTTGTTCGCGTTATTCTAGAAAAAATGTTCGTATGATTCAAACATATTTGTGACATCTAAAAGAATTATAATAACACCTCAAAATATCCACACATTTCTAAAATGTTCATGATATTTATTAAAAATGTTAAATATGTGTGAAAAAAATGTTCACCATGTGTTTAAAACATTGTCCTTAACACTTGAAAATAATGGCATATTTCAAAGAAAACGTTCATGAAAACAATGAAATGTGTTTATTGTGTGTTTAAAGAATATCCACCATGTATTTAGAAAATGTCCAATGTCCATTTGACAAATGTTCCACATGTATTCACAAAAAGTTAAGCATATATCTGGAAAAACTGAAACATGTATCTTGAAAATGTCCAACCTGTATATGAATTTTTTTATGTGTGTTCAAAAAAGTCGACATTTATTTGAAAAATGAAAGTGGAAAAATGAATAGAAAAGTGGAAACCCGGAAAATAGAAGTGCATGAAGCGTCATTAATCCTATATCTCGCCCTTGGCAGGAAAGATGGAGCGTGGAGCGTGGCTATGTCTCGCTTTTAGCAAGATGCACACTTGTCTCTCCTTAAGGGAATCCTCTGGTGTGCCAGTTCAATAGTTATTTCCTTCTTTTTTTCGTTCCTTCATTTATTTCTTTCATTTTATTTTTGTACTTGTATTTATATTTTGAACTGTTATAAATTTTTTAAAATTACTTTCTGTAAAGTGAAAAAAGAATTCCCTTGCACTTTAAAAAAATGTTAAGGATATGAAAAACTTTATGCACACAAAAGTAAAAAGGATTTCATACCATTCAAAAAATGCTCGTATGGTTAAGAATTTTCATGATTTTTCAAAATGTTATTGAAATCTAAACAATGTTCATGTGGTTTAAGAAAAATGTTGGTACCATTCAAACAATTTTTTGCGTGTTTAAAAATATGTCCATGACATTTAAAAAAATATTGATACAATGTAAAAAAAATGTTCGTGTAATTTTGGAAAAGTGTTTGGTACCATTCAGAAAACTTCATGAGATTAAAGAAATGTTCATAAACATAAGAAATGGTCACCCATTTTGAAATAATGCTTATGAAATTTATGAAAAAATATTCAAAGTGTGTTGAGGAAATGTTCACTGAGTAAAAGTATTCATTTTGCATTTGAAATATATTAAGCAGGTATTTGGAAAATGTTGAGCGTGTATCTAAAAAAAATCCAGCCTGTATTTTAAAAATGTTCAACATGTATTTATTTGAAAATTGGGAAAAAGGTAAAAAATGAAAATGGGAAAAAAGGAGAAAACCAAATTGAAAAAATCAAATGAAACCCAATTAAAACAATAAGAAAACAAAATTTAGCTTGAACCTGCCTATAACCGATGGAAGGTCGCCAAAACCGCTCCTGGGATGTTTCTGAAAACAGAAGGAACACACTTTATTGCGCCGGCCTACTAGTGGTTACACCAGAGGCGAGAGGATCCTACGTCTTGCAGTAAGCGAGACATGGCTCTCGCCTATAGGGCTAGCATGACTGGGCGCAAACAAGTTCTGGGAACTTTCCACCGTGATTTGGGAATGGTGTCGTCTGGTTTTTCTTTTCTATTCGTTTTCATGTGATTTTACCAGTCCTATCATGTTTCATTTTTTCTTGTTTTTTACTTTTTGTTTTTATTGTTCTTCTTTGTTTTATTCACCTTTTTTGTTTCTTCTAGTTAGCATGATTTCTATTTTCTATTCATGTTTGCTTCTACTTTAAAATTCCATTTTATTTCTAAAAAAGGAGTGAATATTTTTTATACACCATGAAAATTTTGTAATAATTGGGTGAGATTTTTTTTTACATTTTCATAAACATTTTTACAGGTTTCAACATTTTTAAGTGTTATGAACATTTTTGATTTGTCAAATGGACATATTTTAAAAATTCTGAGAACAATTTTATGAACATTTTGAAGTGTGAACATCATGATTTATGACGGTACCAATATTTTAACATGTTATAGATATCTTTTACAAAAAATTACGTGAACAAAATTTTACATTTCATGAATAAATTTTTAACAGATGTCATGAAATTTTTAACACTTGTGAACATTTGGATAATATCCTGAACCATTTTATAAATGCAAGGACATTTTTTCAATTGTCATGAAATTTTTATTGAAATGCACTGAAATTTTTTTAAGCCGTGCAAACCAATTTCATAATTTAAAATTATCCATGAAAATGAAAACAAGGAAAAATAAAATCTTTAAAGAAAATAAGTTTTCATATACCTCTAAAATACGTCCTTGCATTTTACTAAAAGGATTTGAGAAAAATGAAATAAATATATGGAAATATGCAGTTGCGCACGTGCATGTGTCTACCAGTGAGCGCTCTGGGCGAGCTGCGGCAATGTTGGGACAATCCCACACGGTGTGCACTGCAAGCAAGCACTCCATCCTTCTCACCATGGGTGATAGATAGGCGCACCGGCGGAGCGCGCCTAGTGGCACTAACGGTGGAGATTTAGCTCATGCAGCAGGAAGGCCTAGACAGGGGTTCTGGTCGACCCATCGGTTTACTACAGAGGCCCTTAAAAAACCAAGAAAACCCTACTTAGTGGCGGAACGAGGCACTCAAAGTTTGCTAAGAAAATCGACAGTGGAGACGGTCCACTGGATAACGGGACCGTAACTGTCATGGTGGTGCATTCTAGCGGCAACAACAAATTAAACAAACAAACTAGTACTTCCGTACCAAAATATAAGACATTTTGGGAGGCTAAAGGGATTGATTCTCCATCAAAGAACAATCTGTCGGCAAAAATAGCATCAAAGCGTTCAGCCAAGCCAGGAGTAGGTAGCACCACACGAAGACAAAGGTTTTTGGGTTGGATTTTACTTGGTGCACATGGTTTCTACTAAGTGTATTTGGGCATTGCGGCAGGACAGTAGGAGTGCTGTAGCGTGTGAATTTTCACCAACGGTGATGAAGATTGTGGAGTTGACTGATGCCGCGAAATAGACTAGACAAAGTTGATGTGTTAGATATGGGATTGTAAGAGTGGGTGGTCTCGGCACACGACATGAGGGTAATCAGACCGGTCCGTTGTTGCACCCCGCACGGGGATAATCAGACCGGTCCGTATTGTGTTAATTTAATGCATGTTGAGGGGCGTTATAGTCAAGAGTTGAGGATGTAGGCATTTATGTTAAACCTTATTAACAAATCTGAGCATCGTATTGTTGTATTGCATTTAACCGTATGAATTTCTCACACACCATTTATTTGCCAAAGTGCTAAAAATTGTTTCAAACCACTATGTTGAAAAGGAGACACTATCGAACAAGAATCTGCCAAAGTGCTAGGTTGTTTGACGGCACCATGTAGAAAAGTAGACATTATTGAACAAGAATAACGAGTTTATTTAATAAAAAGGGAAGGCATCGATTCTCTCTCGTCTTTTCAGAAATGATCTGATGTGAATGGGAGAGCATCGGTTGGCGACGATTCATGCAAAGCCCCCCCTACAAAAATGATTCATGCATAGCAGATGCATACACGAATCATTGGTAATCAAGACACGCAAAACACATGCAAATTTGCCTAAGCAGCACAATGGTTGTGGCACACGAAACAGTGAACAGATCACATTATGATGCAAGCACCCGCTTGATCCTCCTCGCAGATAACCCGGTAGCCGCTGTATCCGCCGCAGTACGGCGCGCGTGCGCCACCGTAGCAGCCGGCTGGCGGCGGCAGCGCCACGGCGGCGGTGTAGCCGTACGTCCTGCCGCAGTCTGAGCACCTGCAACTTCCGTAGTACCCCTGGTAGCATGACGCGCAGCACGTGCAGCGGCACGAGCCCACAGGTCGCGCCGGCAGCGAGGGGATCTCCACCATCGGCGGCCCGTTCCACGACGGCATCTCTCCCATCGGGTGCCTCCTCTCCCTCGGGTTCTTGTGGCACTCTGGCCCTGCTTCTGGCACGAAGTGGACCTGCATCTCCTTTGGCGTCTCAAGCTCGGCCGGTCTCTCTTTCGGCCTCTCCTCCTCCCTGACCGCCTGCATGGTCGCTGACATCTCTCTGTCCGGAGGGGGCTGCTGAGGGTGGTGGTATTCCTGTGGCTGCTCAGCGGGCGGCTGAGGGTGGTATGCCGGTTGCTGCTCGGTGTGCTGCTGAGGGTGGTATTCCTGTGGCTGCTCAGTGGGCGGCTGCTGGTGGTATGCCGGTGGCTGCTCAGTGGGCGGCTGAGGGTAGTATGCCTGTGGCTGCTGCTCGGTGGGCGGCTGAGGATGATATGCTTGTGGCTGCTCAGCGGGCGGCGGCGGTGACTCCTTCCCCTTCCCCTTTGATTTTGATTTCTTTTTGCGACTGTTGCTCGGCGGTGGCCCGGCCATCTCTTCCGGCTTGCCGTCGCCCATGATTTGGACGCCCTTGATCACCTTGCCTCCTTTGCATCTGATCCTGCATGATAGCTTGTGTGGATCGAACGGCCCGTCGATGATGACTGCGTTATTGTTGGTGTCGAAGGAGATCATCCTAATCCTCTCTTGATCTGCACAAGTCATTATCTTGTAAGATATACAGTAGCAAGTAAGAAATTTGTGTTCCTGATTGGTATGGCAAGCTCATGTGGAGAGTTTCTTTGTGACTGAGATGCATGAACGAACATATAGCATTAGTGCAGTACAGTCAGATGTTCTACGCACCTTGAAGGCTGCAAAGAATCTTGCGGATCTTTTTGTAGCACTGGTGGCAATCAAGGTCCACCCTTAAGATTATAGTGGAGATCTGTGTTGACAGAAGCATCAGTGAAGTAAATAGTTACTAATGAAGCCCCAAAATCAGTGCATACTTTCTAATTTCAGAGACGCTGAGCTTTTGTTCTTGGTTATCTTATGAATGAATGCTCACAATAGTTCTTTGGGACACAAAAACTGCAATTCCTTCACTACTTGATCAATAATAAGGGCATCTTTGGAACTCAGGTTTCTAAAAACTTATGAATAGGCAAAAAAGTATGGTTGAGATGTTATGACCTCTTTGGTCCATGGGAAACTATAATATGGGAATTTACTTGACTCATTTGATGCTAATAATTTCTGTAGGCGAATATGAAGTGACAGAAGATGTGTGGGAGGCACAAATACAAATTTCCATGAGGTCTAACCACTATTTTTCACTAGGTGGGGTTTAATCTCTTCTTAAAAATCCTATGAAATTGTGGTATAAGAAAACAATCCATATAAATTGATGGTCTCGCTTCTTTTATCCGAGTGACCCTAAATTTTTTTTTCCTACGAGCAGAAATCATGCAAAAATCTTATGAAAATCTCTTTGGTTTTTGTTACCAAGTGAATGACTAAGTCAGAAAATGGGAAGCAACATACACATGTGGACACATGGGTTTTGAATTACGAGAAGTATATACTTTTGCAGGCATAGATAGAAACTTGTAGCTCCTACTTTGTTTTTCTCCATAGAAAAAGAAACTTCGTTTTTCTCCATTGAACGAATCACTCACAAAGGGATAAACCCTAGAACAGATCGGATGCAAATAAGAGAGAGAGAGAGAGAGAGAGAGAGAGATCACCTGATCTGTCATGCTGTTGTTGTGAGTTAGTGACCTAGTTGGTTTGTCGCA